GGGAAGAAAAGCTCACTTAGCAGGAACTCAAGAAGAGCTTCCGTGCAGAAGGAAGCAACTTTGAGGTTTTGGGGCTAAACAAGCCAAACCCCATGAAACGCAGGGAGAAACCACTGTGGCGGAGAGAGAAATACCTAGGAAGACAGATCTGAAAATCTATACATCTTCTGGTGTGATTGAACAATAGGGTCACAGCGTTACTAGTGAACCTTGCACATAATTTGTTCTACCAGAAGCAAAGAGTAATTATTTTAGAAGTTCTTTTTAAAGATGGCTGGCCTGGACTGTTACAGCAACTATGAAGGGACAAACTAGGACTCAGCCAAACTCGAGGAAAGCCAGGAGGAGTCTGCAGGACAGCAAGTAACAGAGAGGTGTTTAGTACAGGTAAGAGAGATGGTTCAGAGATTTTATTTTTGAAGTAAGAGTATATTTTTCAAAAGGACTACCAGATAGACAATGCAACAAAAGGCTAAATGAGAATGGTTTTTTTCTCTTTCTAGAATAACGGGAAGTACATGGAGTCACCAACATGATCTAAACATAAACTCTAAACCAGCCGAGTGACAGTTTAAAAAAATTAATGGCATAGTCCTGTTTTTGACAGCTAGTGATACTTAGGAAATGTTTAATTTTAAATTCAAAGCATTAACGCTGCAGTGAGACACACCTTAAAACAATTTATCTGAAACCCCAGGACAGGTAAAAAAGTTTTCCAGATTACTTCCTGAAAATAGTTCTAAGTAGCTGTAAATTTTACAAAGAAAAACATGTGGTGAAAATACGTCGTTTGAAGGTTCAAACTAGGTACACACAGCTGTGGAGTCTTAGGAGCCCAAAAGTAAAAATCAGTGCCTCATCCATTGCTGTAGGGTTGGGTTTTTTATACATTCTTCCCTCCGTGTAATCGATTTATAGGCTTTAACATGGTAAGTTCTTTATAAAAGGTAATACTTTAATTTTTAATCTCAGGTTAAGGTGCTTCAGCCTGCAAACTTGGTACTGCCTTAGCATTAAGCTAGCACTTAAAGGAGAACTGCAGCTATTGGGTTTGCTTTCAGTGCACTAACTTTTACCGTTTTCAGGTGATACGTTTCCTGCACATAACGCAAAAAAAAAAGGCCGACCCACTGTTTTTCAACCTGTAACCACAGCAGAGGCCGTTCTCTCCAGGGACCGCACAACAGCTTTAATCCCCGCACTGTGATACCGCAGGGGGGGAAGAGCAACGGCCACGAGCAAGCGAGGCCCAGCTCCACAGGCCACTCAGGCGCAGGGCCTGGCTGAACAACTGCTTCCCGCGCCGGGACCCAGCCC